ATTGCGATGACCAGAACTTGCTGACCAAGGCGAACATCATGACTGGCATTTTTCATCCATCAGATTGGAGGAAAAAAAACACTGACGACATTTGGTGTTGATGAGGGGGTGGAGAAATAGTCTCTATTCTGCTGGAAGCAGTGTAAACCAGTATAACCTTTACGGAGGGTAATTTAAAGTTGTCTCTTAAAAGTGCACATGATCTGAGAATCTGAAAATCCACTTTTAGGAATCGATCATAGAAAAACAACAGTGTGAATACATAGGGATTAAAATGAACAAGAATGATTACTGCGACACTGTCAGCAAGAGGGAAAAAAGCTCAAACAAGCGGAATGCCCCTTAGGAGGGGAACAGTGACATAAAATACAGAACACACAGAGTGTAGCCCTTAAACAGAAAGAGGTGAGGCAGTTCACGCTGATTAAAAAAAAAAAGAAAAAAAAGGTGCCCATGCTTTACTGTGGAGTGCAAACGCAAGCCAAGATGTACAGCATTTTTGTGATTAAAATAAAAGGATCCACATGCCTAGATCTGCAGGCCCATCTTGCTGTGGTTATGACTGCGGTGTTCAAGGGAAAGAGGATGAATCTGGCAGTGTGGTTCCCCCTGGGGAGTGGGATTAAAGAGATTCAGAAAGGGGTGGGCAGGAGGCCACTACCCCTTTTTTTTTGTATTTGAAAATTATTCTGGCCGGACGTGGTGGCTCACACCTGTAATTCCAGCACTTTGGGAGGCTGAGGCGGGTGGATCACGAGGTCAGGAGATACAGACCATCCTGGCCAACATGGTGAAACCCTGTCTCTCCTAAAAATACAAAAAAATTAGCCAGGCGTGGCAGTGCGCGCCTGTAGTCCCAGCTACTCGGGAGGCTGAGGCAGGAGAATTGCTTGAACCCAGGAGGCAGAGGCTGCAGTGAGCCAAGATCGTGCCACTGCACTCCAGTCTGGTGATAGAGTGAGAGACTCCGAGAAAGGAAAGGAAAAAGGAAAGGAAAAAGGAAAGGAAAGGAAAGGAAGAAAGAAAAAATTATTCTTACATTTATATATAGTAAAATGCACTCTTTCGTTGTACAGTTCCATGGGTTTTAACACATTTAGCTTCTTATAACAACCGTCACAAACAGGATACAGAATATCAACACCCTGAAGAATTTCTTCTTCCTTCCCCTATGTAACCAGACTCTCCTTCTACTCCCAACCTCTGGCAACTACTGATGTATTTGTTCTCTGTCCATATATTTTTGCCTCTTTCAAATGTCACAGAAATGGAATAATTCAGTCTGCAATTTTGAAAGACTGGCTTTATTCACTGAGCATGCACAATTAAGGTTACTGTGCATATTGAGGGCTCATTTCTTTTGATGGCTAAGTAGTTTTTCATCATATGGATGTATCACAGTTTGTTTACCCATTCACCAGCTGAAGTACATGTGGGTTGTTTCCAGTTTTGGGTGATTATGTCATTTATATTTTTATTTTTGAGACAGGGTTGCTCTGTCACCCAGGCTGGAGTGCAGTGGCACAATCTCTGCTCACTGCAACCTCCACCTCCTGGGTTCAAGCGATTCTCCTGCCTCAGCCTCTCAAGTTGCTGGGACGACAGGTGTGCACCACCATGCCCAGTTAATTTTTTATTTTTAGTATACATGGGTTTCACCATGTTGGCCATGCTGGTCTCGAACTCCTAGACTCAAGTCATCCACCTACCTTGGCCTCCCAAGGTGCTGGGATTACAGGCGTGAGCCACTGCACCTGGTTAGTTTTTGGTGATTATGAATAATGCTGTTGTAGACATTAATGTATGACTTTTGTGGGAATGTACATTTCCATTTATCTAGGATAAATACCTAAATTGGAATTGCTGGGTCCTAAGTGTATTTTTAATTTTATAAGAAATTGCCAAACTGTTTTCCAAAGTGACTGTGCCATTTTGCATTCCCATCGGCCATAGAAATGACACTCTAAGGAGAGTTGCATTTTCTCTACATCCTCATCAGCACAATGGTATTATCAATATTTTTCGTTTTGGTCATTTTAATAGTTCTGTAATTGTATCTCATTATGGTTTTGTGTTTCCCTAATGGCTAACGATGGTAAGCATATCTTCAGGGGCTTATTTGCCATCTGCACACTTTCTCTGGTGAAATGCCTGTTCATGTCTTTTGCCCATTTTCTAATTGGTTTGCTTTTTTTTTTTTAACCATTGACTTTAGAGAAGACTTTATATATTCTAAATACTGGTCCTTTATTGGATATGCAGTTTGCCTATCTTTTCTTGCAGTTTGTAGTTTGTCTTGTCAGGCTCTTAACTAGGTCTTTGGCAAAGCAAAAGTTATTAATTTTAATAATGTCCAATTCATCAAATTTTCCACTTTGGATGCTTTGATGACAAGTCTAAGATGTCTTTGCCTAGCCCTATACTGCAAATACTGTCTCACATTCTTTCTAAAAGTTTTATAGTTTTCATTTTACATTTAAGTCCATGACCTCTTTTGAGTTAATTTTGTATATGATGTGAGACTTAGGTCAAGGTTCATACTCTTGCCTATGAATGTTCCTATGCTTCAGGATCATTTGGTTGTGATGTACAATTTGATAATATTTTGTTAAGAATTTTGCATCTAGGCAGGCACAGTGGCTCATGCCTGTAATCCCAGCACTTTGGGAGGCCCAGGTGGGTAGATCACCTGAGGTCAGAAGTTTGAGACCAGCCTGACCAACATGGTGAAACCCTGTCTCCACGAAAAATACAAAAAATTGGCTAGGTGTGGTGGTGGGTGTCTGTAATCCCAGCTACTTGGGACGCTGAGGGAGGAGAATCACTTGAAGCCGGCAGATGGCCATTGCACTCCAGCCTGGGCAACAAGAGCAAGACTCTGTTTTTTTAAAAAAAAAAAGAATTTTGCATCTCAATTCAGAGATACTATAGTATATTAAATTGCACATCACAACCAAATGGTCCTGAAGCATAGGAACATTCATAGGCAAAAGTATGAACCTTGACCTAAGTCTCACATCATATACAAAATTAACTCAAAAGGACTTAAATGTAAAATAAAAACCATAAAACTTTTAGAAAAAAATATGAGGAAATATAGTATCTCTGAATTTAGTATAGTATACAAAGAGTCTATAGTTTTCTGTATTGTCTTTAATTCCAGTATTACAATCATGCTGGCCTCATAAAATGGGTTGGGAAGTGTTCCCCCTTAGTTTTGCATGACATTTTGTATAATTGGTGTTACTTCATCTTTAAATGCTTGGTAGAAATCACCAGCGAAACCCTGTGAAAATGGAGTTATCTGGAAGGTTTTTACCTACAGATTTGATCACTTTAACAGATATAGGACCATTCACGCTACTTTTTAAGCTTGATAGTTTGTATCTTTCAAGGAATTGGCCCTTTTCTTCTCATTTGTAAAATTTATGTGCGTAGAACTGTTCATAGTATTCCCTTATTATCATTTTAATGTCTATGGGGTCAGTAGTGGCACTCCATAATGTTTGTAATTTGTGTCTTTTTTCCCTCCGTTTTTAAATCAACTTTATTGGCTATTTTGAAGAACCATCTTTTGGTTTCATTAATTTTTTTCTATTATTTTTATATTTTCATTTGTTTGCTCTTATGTTTATTATTTCTTCCCTTCTTGCTTTGGGTTTAGTTTGCTTTTCTTTTTCTAGTTCCTTAAAGAGGAAACTTAAATTACTGCTTTGAAACATTTTTTCTTTCTAATATAATTTAATGTTGAGTTTCCCTAAGTACTACTTTATCTGCATTCCACAAATTTTGATATGTTGTATTTTCATTTTAATTCAGTGTTCTAATTTCCCTTGAGACATCCTCTTTGACCCATGGATTATATAGTGGTATAGGGTTTAATTTCAAATATTTGATGATGTTTTTCATATTTCTTTCCAGATATTTTTCAGATGTTATCAAATTCTTATTTAATTCATTAAGGGCACAGAACAAGCTTTGAATAATTTCAATTCTTTTAAATTTAATACAGGCTGTTTAGTGACAATATGGTATATCTTCATGAATGTCCCATGTGCACTTGAAAAGAACATGTATTCTGCTGTGGCTGGTGGGCTGTTCCATAAATATCAATTAGGTCAAGTTGGTTGATGATGATGTTCAACCAACTTGACCTAATTGAAATATCCTTCCTGATTTTCTACCTGCTACTCTTCTTGACTACTGACAGAGGAGTGCTAAAGTCTCTACATCTTACTATGGATTTATCTATTTTTCCTTTCAGTACTACCAAGTTTTTGCTTCATGTATTTTGAAGCTCTGTTGCTAGGGACACACACATTTAGCACTGTTATGCATTCTTGATTGACCAATATTGCTGAAATTATCATTACATAATGTTTCATTTTATCACTAATAATTGTCCTTTTTCTGAAGTCTTCTTTGTGTGATATTAATATATAGCCACTCCAGCTTTTCCAATTCTAAAATTTCTATCTTTATAGCTTCTTTTTTTTTACAGAGAATTTCTATCTTTCCATTAATTCCAAGAGTACTCATTTTTACTTCTTAGAATGTGGCATAATAGTTGCTTTAAAGTCTTTGTCTAATAATTCCAACATTTGAATCCTCTCAGGTTTGGCATTTGTTGATTGCCTTTTTCCTTGAGAATTTTTTAGGCTTTCCTGGTTCTCTGTATGTTGGATAATTTTGGTTTATATCCTAGATATTTTGAATATTATGCTGAGACTTGGTCCTGTTAAAATTCTCAAAAGGTTTTGCTGTGCTCATTCTAGTCAGTTTCATGCATGTGCAGCTCAGGGATGAGCCCAGAACTTCATACGCAGATTTAAAGGATATCTAACTCAGATGTCTCCTTTCTGTAATCTCCACTCCTCAAGGTTCTATGGCTAGAAAGCCAAGGTTTAGCCTCTCTGCACCGTAGCACCCTTTTGTGACTGGGACCACCTCAGGACAGAGAGGCAAGGGAAAGGGGCCTGCAGGACCCCCAACCACCGTACCTGTCGCTGCTGTCTGTGCTAACACAGGCGTATAGCTTCATTATTGGGTTTCTCCGGCGGTAATATCTAAAGAGTCAAAAGAGCTCTGACCCACAGGAGCTGCCGTGGGGAGAGGCAGGTGCTCACCTGGAGTGCTCTAGGCTGGTGCTTACTTGGAGCAGGGCTGGAAGGGCTAAAGGGCTGTTGCCCTGCAGAGGGTATTGCTATCATCTTCGGCAGGGGTAAGGGGTGGGCCACTTCACTGATGAGCCAAGATTAGGACTGAAAGAATCAAGAGTTGTGCCTCACAAGGGACATCACTGCCACTGCCACCCGGGCAAGTAGTTTTCAGCTTGTTGTTGGCATTTGCCTGGCATAGGGATGAGAGAATAGAAAGAACTCCATCCTGCAGGGATGCTGCCACTAAGAAGGATTTGCTGCTTCGTTGCTGGTGTTCACCTAGAGTAGGGCCAAGGCTGTCCAACAAGCTCTGTCCCATAGGGGCTGGTGGTGGGGGTGTGCAGTGGGATCTAGGCTGGGAAAGTCTCAGGAACTCTGGCCTGCAGGAGTTGTTGATGCCACCAGTGACAGAGGTGCTCCTTCACTACTCACACTTGCTACGGAGTCATCGCTTGGGTCCTGATCTATCTCCTCAGGCTACCAGCTCCTCTTATCTACCTTTCAGAGTCCTCTGATACTCACTTTATGCATTCTGCATAGGGTTTGATGTTGTATCAGTGGGAGAGATGGGGTGGTTTAAGTGTTTATTCCATCTTGGTCAGAACAGCAAGTCCCTTTTCATGTCATTTTTAAAGCAGTAGGATTACAAGGTGATTTTCCTATCATTTTTAGGCCTCTCAGGGTTGTTCATATCAAGATATTTGTAATAACACTGAGGTTTCTGGCTTGAGCATCTGGGTAGATGGAGTACTGAGAAGGAAAGAGAACTGTGCTGGAGGTGGTATCGATAAATGGAATTATAAATGCTGAGGTGTCAAGTCAGGGCTGCTCATCAGATGGGTAGGTGGCTGGTTGCTGTGGCCCAAGAAGTCAAGGGAAGCAAGAACTCTAGGAAATGGGTGGGATTCTGTGATGAGTCTTGCACGAGGGAAAATGAGGAGAGGTCGCTTTGTACTGGGTGGCATGCAAGGATAAGACACAGATGGCTGAGGAGCAGAGGAAAGGCAGGGAAACAGAGGTTACAGTGTTGATGACACTTGCTCAGAAGTGACTGTGAAGGGAAGGGCAAGACTAAAAAAAATGCCAATGTGAACAAAGCTGGTTTTCTTTAAGAATTCAAAACATATGTGGGTATATATCCAAAAGAACTGAAATCAGAATCTCGGAGATATTAACACTCCCTGTTCACTGAGGCACTATTCACAACAGCCAAGATGTGGAAACAGCCTAAACGTGTTTGGACAAACAAATGGATAAAGCAACTGTGGTGTATACCTACAATGGGATATTATCCAGCCTTAGAAAGGAAGGAAATTCTGTACTTGCAGCAACAGGAATGAACCTTGAAGACGTTATGCTAAGTGAAATCAGCCAGTCACAGAAGGACAAGTGTTACACGATCACATTTCTATGTGAAATCTAAAATAGTCAAATTCATACAATTGAAGAGTGGAAAGGTGGTCATTAGGAGCTGGGAGGGGGAGAGGGAAATTGGGGGCTGTTCATTAATGTTTATAAAGTTTCAGTTATGTTAAGAAAAATACGTTCTAGAGATCTGCTCTACAACATTGTACCTATAGACAACAATACTGCATCGTACATTTTAAAATTTGTTAAGAGGGTCGATCTCATGTTAGGTGTTCATATCACAATAAAATGAAATTTTGAAAATTCAAGAGATAGGAATATATTTTTAGCAGAATGCCAACAAAACCCTTGACAGCTTGTATTCTAACCCACATGAATTTGAATATATCTGAACTGTGTCATTTAAAAAGGGTGACAGTCTCTTCCAGTTCATTTCCTTCAGAAAATGGCTGTGACATCCAAAGACAAGGTGGGCCAGAAAACGGCTGTCTACACTCCCCCGGCACCCAGCTACCACCTGCCTTCTCCACGCAATAAACTCCGCGCGTCAGTCCCCTGTGCTCTTCCCATCTTTTGGGGCCAAGAAAGAGCTTGCATGGCAGGAGGACATTAAATATTTGTTGAAAACAAGAATGCATGAATGAGTGAGTACTGGAGTCTAGAAAAAGAGGGTCAGAGACTGGAGTGTGTTACTCTGTCACCAACCCTGTCTGGAGGAATCCAGCTCAGATTAGCCAACGCCGGTTATCAAATGAGGTCCCCAGGTGAGAAGGGTGGTTTCTTACGCTATCTTCCAAAACACCACCCTGTGACCATGACTTTGTAAAAAAAAATAAATCTCATACCCAGAAACAAGACAGACTAGAAGGAGAGTCGACCTAGGAGTGATTTTTTTTCTACATACTTTCTGTGTTTTCCAATTTTTCCACACAATATTCTCTAACTCCTTTGTTCTCATTCTAATCCTGTGTGCAGAAGCTGCTTTATGAACTGTAATTTAGACACTAGGATGGATTGAACCAACAGGAGGATGTAAAATGTTCTGCACAAATGAACACGGCTGATAACCCTGGGCCATTTACTTCCTAGGACAGATCAGCAAATTATGAACCAGGCCTATAAACAGGGCTCCTCTGCCTCGAGGAGCACAGACATGTACTAAGACTGCAGTAACCACTCCAGCACAGCCCCTGTGAGGCTCAGCCCCTTCGGCAAGCCAGGCTCCTGTTTACTACAACCAACCACCACTGCATCCTTCCCTACTCCTTCTGCTGAAGCGTTCCTCCATTCCTTCAAAGAAGGAAAACAAGGTGTGGAAGAGGAGAAGGAGGAATAAACCAGGTGCTGGGGACCAAGCAGCTTGAGTGCCCAAAGCTGAGTCATCTGGAACACGTCAATCATCCAACTTTACTGTACATGCCCTGGAGGGAGGACGGGGGAGGCGGCAGACTATTCGGGAGCTCTGGGCAAGGTATTTGCCACCATAACAGCAAATATTAGGTCTTTCTGGAAACAGAGTGGTATTGTTATTAAAACTTTCATTACCTGTATGTTTTATATGAACTGAATTGCTTCTAGCTAACATAATTTGGGAGCAATGAGAATGATAATAGTAGAAGTGATAATAATCAATGAAAGCACAAACAGATTTGGTATCTGGGGAAGGTGTGGGGGCAGCTTCACTACTGGGGTCTGACAGTGCAGACCCTAAGATTCTGCTCTGGTCAGCATGAGATAGTCCCTCAAGGTCCAGGTAGGATCAGGCAGCAGGCCCAGCCTGTCCTGGTACCTGTCCTTCCAGTACCACTGCCCCTGCCCCCCGAGTTGCTTCCCTATAGAATGCAGGTAATTCCTTCCCACCTTTCTGTGTGGTAAAATGAATATCATTACTCATGCCCATAAAGTAACCCAGATTCTTCTTTCACTTTGGAATTCATCTAACTCTGTCATTTCTATGGCTTTAGTGAATGTGATTAAACTTAGATAGACAAGACAATTCTCTTCTACTACATAAGAAAAGCTGTTAATAAACAAACACTCTATTACATTTTATAAATCAAAGAAAAATATACAAGGTCTTTACAGACCATCCCAGGCATTTTATAGTGAAGAAAACCTGGCTTAGGTTGAGCAACTCACATATAAATAATGGGCAAAGCACTGCCCTCTGAAGCTTCTTTCCCAGATTTGACTATGAGCTTGATATTCTGTTTTTAAGTTCCATTCATTTAGCAAGCCCTTGAGAGACATTTTCAATTCTGGGCCATGAAGGTCAGGGTTTCATGTGCACAGAGAGCGACTCCTTCCTCCCTTGCTACTTCAATGGCTTTTTAAACCACTCTACAATAGCTTCAATAACCTCAATGGAAATCTGCAGAGTGGATCGTCAGCTACGGCTTGAACTTCCTCCTAATTCCCGCACTGATTATCCTACTGCAGTGGCAGCAGCAACTCAAAATCACGGCTGTGCCAAGGGGCCTTCAGATTGGGAAGGCCACATGTGTGGGCTCTTTGGAACTGTGAATCCTTGTGTGTCACCTTAGCAATTTAAAGTACTGTAAAAGAGCCAGAAAAGATTAGATTATTTTGGAACTGTTTTCACATTGTTTTGTATGAGCTAATTTTCTTCCTGTGTATGCATCTTCCTCTTAGGGTACAGGATTCCCTCAGAGAGCCACCAGGTTCTATTTCCCTTCTGTCCTACAATA